ACCAAATTTTGACAGCTCAAAATTCCACTAACATGGATTTTTCCATTAAATGAAGTCAACATTTTGACTTTCTTCATTTAATTCAACAATTAATTTGAATAATGAATTTCAAATTAATGTAACATTAAATGATTAATTCAACTATTTAATTAATATTTAATATTAATTCAAATGTCAATCCCTATCAATTCCGACACATAATTGATTAACATATTTAAATCTTATTTAAATATCTCAGATTCTCTCTTTTTGTTTAATTCGTAAATAAAACAAAAATGGGGTTAAATATATCGTATACATGTAGCGCATATTCCCTAATTTGAATTCGAACACTTCGAACTCACTCGTCACACTGTTCTATGGTTTAGTCTGATATGAGCTAGCAAAGGGACCTAATGGACCTATAGATCATGGGCTCCAACGATCCAAGATTAACCGGTTAAACTCATTAACTTTGTTAACCAACATTCGTTAACTATTAGGACACTCCACTATAGCCTAGTAGTTGCACTCCCCTCACTATAGATATATTTCTGTCCATTTGATATAACCATGATTAGTAAGTCGATCGTTCACAAATTGTTCGTAACTAGAGTTGGGTCAATTTACCGTTTTACCCCTAAAGTTACTTCTTGTTCCTTATGTCTCACTGATCCTCTAATGAACAATTGGTTTGTGGTCCAACCAGTATACCAAATTCCTCTCAGGCTAATGAGAGGGTGGGGCCCCTTGTTCAAGACCTGGAGTCAGTGCTTAAGGGAACTACCTCTCTTCTATCCCTAAAAGTGGGTAGGAGAGAATTCCATCTTACACCCCACGTCCCCAACCATTCACACAGTCTTACCCCTGAAATGGGAGGCCTATTGAGTCGGCGAACTAGAGCCACTCTCACCCATGCAAATCTAAGGATAATTCCGAACAAACAGGAGTTCATGGTTAGCTCAAGATTAAAACCGAGTTACTTAGGTTATCGAATGAAAAAGAAAATCAGTCTCAACAGTAAACGACATTATAAAGTGAGAGTGGTTTTCTTCATGGTCTGATCTTATGCAATACTCATTGTATAGGACGCCCCCGCTCACATGTCTCCACATGTACAATTTAGTGATCACATTGTTTATATCATATACAAAAGTGGGCCGCATTCATAGTGTCCCCAGAATAAGGTACTCAACCTTATCCTTATACTATAGATCATTTTGACTATATATACTTGAACTTGATCCACAAATCGCCGATAATACCCTACTAGACCAAGGAAACTTCATACCTCCATCACTGTGGTCAGGTGAGGCCAATTCGTCATCGCTTCAATCTTTGCTGGGTCTACGGTGATTCTCATTCGTGAAACTACATGCCCAAGAAATCCTACCTATTCTGCCCATAACTCACACTTGGAGAACTTTGCAAACAACTTGTTTGTCCTCAGAGTGGTCAACACCTTCCTGAGAAGTTCCTCATGTTGTTCCCTAGTCATGGAGTATACAAGGATATCATCAATGAAGACGATCACGAAGCTGTCTAAGAATTCTCTGAACACTTTGTTCATCAACCCCATAAATGCTGCTGGAGCGTTGGTCAATCCAAACCACATACCCTAAACTCATAATGTCCATACCTTGTGCGAAAAGCTGTCTTTGAGATATCACTCTCCTTAATCCTCAACTGGTGGTAGCCTGATCGTAAGTCAATCTTTAAGAACACAACTGCTCCTTGCAACTAATCGAACAGGTCGTTGATCCGAGGTAAAGGATACTTGTTCTTAACTGTCACTTTGTTAAGATCCCAATAGTCCATGCATAAGTCCATAGAACCGTCCTTCTTTTTCACAAATATCACTGAGGCTCCCCAAGGGGACACACTTGGACGTATAAAACCTTTGTCCAGTAGCTCTTGGAGCTGCAACTTTAGTTCTTTCAGTTCAACAAGAACCATTCTGTACGAGGCTCTTGAAATAGGGGTTGTTCCTGGCTCAAGTACAATTTCGAATTCCACCTCACGCTCTAGGGTAGGCTGGGGAGATTTTCTGGAAACACGTTGGTGAATTCTCTGACTACTGGCACTGAGTTAATGCTCGTCTCGGTTCGCCTTAATTCCACCACATGAGCTAATGTCCCCCAAGCACCCTTGGATAACATCTTCCTTGCCTTTAATGCCCAGACTATCTTCGGGACCATTTTTACCCTTGTCCCCTTGAATTTGAAGCTTGGCTGACCGGGGGTCTGAACACAACCTCCTTATTGAAGAAATCAATGGAAGCATGGTTTTTAGCTAACCACTCCATCCCTAAGATGACGTCAAAATTGGTCATATCTAAGACTATCAGCATCACATTCATCATGTGGTTTGACACACACAACTGACAGTCCTTTACCCTCTCGAAGGCTTCCATATTTACCCCTGTCGTGATACCCATAAACAACCCATACCCTAGTAGTTCAACTTCTACTCTGGCATGTTTTACAAGGTTAGTTAGTAGAGATAAAGGAGTGGGTTGACCCAGAATCAAACAAGACCCAAGCGTAGTGCCCAAGAATAGAGAGCGTACCTGTGACTGCCGTGTTGGAGTTTTCTGCCACCTGGCGAGTGGTAGCATATATTCGACCCTGTTATGGAGCTGGCCTCAGGTTTGAGGTCGGTTGGTTACCAGGGGGTCTGTTGGTACTAGCTGTTGCTCTCTCTTGGGTGCAATGCTTGATAGCGTGGCCTTCTTGGTGACAGTTGAAACATACTCGATTCTTAAACTTGCACTGCCTTGGGTGATGTCTCCCATAGTTCATGCAACGTGGTCAGTCGTGTGGTGTGTTCTGTGGGCGAGCCTTTGGTTGCCTACACTCTTGGTTTAAATTTGTCTTAGCCTGGTGCCACGGTACCTTTGAGGAGGTCGGTGACATCTGTTCTCTCTTTCTCTTCTAGTCAATCGTCGTGTTTAAGTGGGTTTGGGTGTCTTCCATCGAATACTCCCTATCGTCGAAGTGCTATTACATAATTAGGTGGAAGGTGAGCTGACACTGCCCCTCGGACATCGAGCCTCAAGCCCATAACAAAACATTCTATTTTCATACTCCTCTACTGACTTGTTTCCTTGTTCTATGCTTAGGAATTCACGTTGCTTCTTATATCACACCACTGGTTTGAAGTATTTTTGGAGGAACGCTGCTCTAAACTGTGTCCAGGTGATATCGTCTAATTTTGCAACAATTGCCCGGAAGGCTGATTGCCACCATAGTTTAGCATCATTGCATAACAAGTAAGTCATGCAACTCAGTCTCTGCTCCTTCGGACACTTCATGCGTCGAAAAAGTTCATCTATGGTCGACAACCATAATTCAGCTACGACAGGGTCCTTGGATTTTCCCTCAAAAATACTTTGGGGTCGTCTACCTGGCACTTTGCACTAAGGTTGGGATCAGTTGTGCCAATTGCCCAGATGTCTGTGTCATGGATTGCATCATTCTCATCATCGAGGTCATATTAGGTACTTCCGGAGCTTCAATGTTTGTTCTTGGTGGATCAGATGGGGGAACTCCTATTCCCGAATTTGGGTTCGCATTTACTGACTGTTCTTGAAGTGGGGCCTCTAAAGATGGGTTCTCCTGTACCCTTGCCAACCCGCTTCGAGCACGTTTACCCCCCCTCCCCCCAATAGTGATGTCCCACATTGGTTGGGAAGGAGAACAAAACACCTTTTATAAGGGGTGTGGAAACCTTTCCCTAGCAGACACGTTTTAAAGCCTTGAGGGGAAACTCAAAAGGGAAAGCCCAAGGAAGACAATATCTGCTAGCGATGTGTTTAGGTCGTTACAATAGTACATCATGACATCTCACAACATAACACAGGTTATCGCAACATAACATGATATTTCATTTGTACCATAATATTATTTGGCATATCATATAGCGATACATAACATAACCATCACATATCAAAGCATATCACACAAAGGACACGTATAGAGTCACTTTGCACGTGTCATACATAAAATAAATTTTCCAACTAAACTGAAAGTAGAGCCACTTACTTGGTTGGCCTAGACCGAAGCAACTATGACCCCTTGATACTAGCTTAACGCTGCTCTCTGTTGAAGCTACTATGACCTCTTAATACTAGTTTAACGGCGCTCTCTGAAGTTTAGTTCTAACTAAGGAGTGTCACAATCATAAATTAGAATTCTACTGTGGGAATTGACTCACTTGTCATACTAATCCTAAACGCTTTTAAAAAGTTGAAACTAGTAGAAAAGAGTCCGAGCAATTATAAATTAGAATTCTACTGTGGGAATTGACTCACCTGTCATACTAATCCTACACGCTTTTAAAGAGTTGAAACTAGTAGAAAAGAGTCCGAGCGTATTAAACCCAAGCTCAATCAGCCGAAATGTGAGGTCGTTTGAGGTGTAAGGTCATCATTGAAAGTCATCTCTTAGCCAAAAAATCACTGTGGGAGGGCATGTGAATTACAATGGTAGAAAATGGATCAATGACTAGGTCTCCACACGTTATATTGCTCGTAAGTGAAGTGTCACTGGTCTTGGTTCCGAGAAATGTCGCTCCCTAGTTTACCAACATCAAAGAAGAAGATCACGTGTGGATTTGAATCTTATTAAATCTTGTCGCTGGCTGTTTTGTGCTCATTGTTCGTTGTCACTACAAACGTGCATTAATAGAGAAGAAGATGCCTTCAAGAGTGCAATCACGCGAACAAATGAAGATAGAACGATTTTTTATTTTTTATTTTAGGGACTATTTTATTTTATGAGAGAAAAATATTTAGATTCTATTTTTATGAAAAATAAATTGTAATATATTTTATTTTTTTTTTTTTAAATAAGGAGAACAAAAGAAAAAAAAAAAAAATATATATATATATATATATATAAAGTATTTTTTTCCCTAAAAATTTTAAACTAACCTTTCTAAAACACATGCGATCGTGAGCGTTGATACAAACGCCAGTCAGCCGTCAGATCTAGGGCATCGAAGACTGAAATACCCTAATATACCGATATTCTTCGGCCTTGAATGGTTCTTTTGTTTCAGTCTTACAATTCTCCAGCAACAGGTTTAGAGGATTACGACGAGCGGAGAAGATGGTCCAGCGGCTCACTTACCGTAAACGGCACAGCTATGCCACAAAGTCCAACCAGCACCGCGTCGTCAAAACTCCCGGTAATCAGACACTGTTCTTCATCCGTGTCTCGAAGCCTTCTCCGGATTACATCTCTCATCATTCGCTGTTTTGATGAATTTCTCTTACGCATCTGAATTTGTTCGCAAGATCTGGTCTCACTTGCTTAATCGGTGGTGTGTGGTTTGATTCTTAGGTGGAAAGCTTGTGTACCAGACCACGAAGAAGAGGGCTAGTGGTCCTAAATGCCCTGTCACTGGAAAAAGAATTCAAGGAGTGCGTATATTTCTATTCTTGTTCTTTTTGTTTTCATCAAACAAGTTGCTTCAGAGCTGTAGAATTAGATTTTGACAACTTTTTTGGTTTCATGTTATAGTATTGGGTATTCTGCTGTTCTATAGGTTAGATCACTGTCCTTATGTTCTATGTACCACTTTGTTTTATAAGTTTTGGCTGGTTGGTTTGCGAGCTCCTCGTACCTTATGTACCAGTTCTTTTGCGGATGTTCTGCATAATTTTTCGGCTTACGGGCAGCATTGTTCTTCTTGTCTTTGCATTTCCTTTATTGTCTAGAAACTCACGGTCTTTATTTTGATCGAATTATGATGTTGAATTTTAGAACCGATACATAAGAGTTTCTCAACAATATTTCAATCTGGTTGATTGCTGATATCTGGTTCAATTATGGTTTTTTTTAACAGATTCCTCACTTAAGACCTGCTGAATACAAGAGGTCTAGGCTGGCTAGGAACCGTAGGACTGTCAACCGCGCCTATGGTGGTGTACTGTCTGGAGGTGCTGTTAGGGAAAGGTGTGTTTCTTTGACATGCATCACTACACTACATTGCTTGCTTATTATAGACGGCTCCTTGAACATTCCTGAAAAACTTCTTTGATTTTGTAGGATTATTAGGGCTTTTTTGGTTGAAGAACAAAAGATTGTCAAAAAGGTTTTGAAGATCCAGAAGGCAAAGGAAAGGCTTGCCTCCAAGAGTTAGAATGGCTGGGTTAAAATCCCAAACCCTTTTCCATTTTATATATGCTGAATGCAAATTTTGACTTGGATCAATGACTTTTTAATTTAAATGATTTGGAATTAGCGTTGTATTCTTTCAGTTGCATTAGTCGTTCCAAGTTTCTCCTGCAAGAATTAATCAGTTTATCACTCTTGTTTATGCTGATTATGCTTCATTTACCTGCACGCATCAAGAATATGGTCCTAGTTATGTCCCTTCATTCTCCCTCATCCTTTAGCACGCTCTTCTTCATTAGATAGTCTATAAAAGAGAGAGATCGACAAGGCCTAGCTTCAGAGATTAGCCTAACACCATTCCAGGCAATTTTAATTTCAGCCTGAAGAGCTTCTCCACATTTAACCAATGAGTGGTGTTTGCAACAACATTGTTTCCTTACCTTCTGTTTATAAAGATACCCATACGTAACTTCATGTTCCTATGGTTACATTGCATCCATAATGATGCTAATACAGCCTTCCCTTGTGAGCCCTAGATTCTAATTTTCATGCGAAGAATTTAGGCTGTCTATGCATGAGCTCTCTCTTTGCATTTGACCGTAAAACAATTTCTGCATTTTTCATGTAAGCTTGGTTTTTTTATGTGTTTAGTTAGGTGTTTTTGTGTGTATTTTCTGCGAGCACGTCTGTGTTCATGCCAAATAGCTTAAGTTAATATGATTGAAAGATAATTCTACAGAGGTTGCAAAGAGCATGACGATACTCTTTCAAGTTTGAGTGGTGTGAACATGGTTTGCGAAGCGGAGGACATCGATCTTATTTAGAGCTTTTTAAGCTCCATAGGTATTTTCACTATCTTGAAATTTAGGATGAAACTAAACTCCCGCTCTCTTGTGCAAAGACGAGGAATCGTAGCTAAAGTTATGACCACATAACCACATACAAATTTCAGTATGCATCCTCGTGACAGTTTAATTCTTTGTTATAAGTGAGATGCGGTTGGTAAATATTGAGAATTTTTGTCCAAAAATTATAAGCATATATGCTATGCATATGCATAAACAATTAGTTTTATGATTTGTAATCTTTAGCACAAATTTGGAAATAGAGTTATATAGGACATCTATTTTCTTTTTTTAGGTTGTCACTTCAGCTATGCACCATTTTTCATCAGAAAAATTTTACAATTTAAGAGTGATTTTCTTTTCATATTGTCTTTGTTGTGGACACTTTACTCACATTTCTTTATCGAGAATGTTGAGATAAGTTAAAAGTGTCGAAGCATATTGGGAATGTTCAAGACTATATCAAGATTATATTAAGCAGTTTTCTAGGCTTATGGTGGGTATTCATGACATTTTTTTAGAAAGACAAGGTTTTCAATTTTGTTTATGGACGGAAGTAGTTTTGTTTAGGGACGGAAGTCAGGGCAAAGACTAATCCCTATGAACAATAAGTTCAAGAACTTTCCACACCTTATGCTATAGTCGAACAACTATTTGACCTTAGTAATGATCCATCTCAAGGCTAAACTAGGCTTTTGCAAGTGGGGGTATAAAAATTACTGACCCAACTCTCGCAAAAGTGGGAGAGGTGAGAGACTTGAAAAAGCAGAGGAGAGGAATGCAAGTCCTTACAATAGAGAGGTGGAAGGAGGGGAATGCAAGTCCTTACAATAGAGAGGTGGAACCCGTGGCGGAGACCTTACAACTAGAATAGTCACAGTCAAAGCCCCTCATCTAGCTTCATATGCAAAGGAGATCATCAAGAAACTAAGTGCCCATAAAAGGAAGCACTCTATGTCTTCCAAGTAAAATTTGGAATGAATTTAGAAACTTGGTACGAGACAATAAAAGTTGAAATACTGAGTGTTAAAATTCATCACAATCCTAAAATATTTATTTGCTATCCAAAAGAGAATGGGAGAGTTGGAAGAATTAGTGGAATGCGGTCTTATGTATGTTGAGGCCTATGTATGTTGAGGCCTGGGTTAACCACAAAGCGACCAAGAACATTGTTGTCGACTCTAAAGTCATCCACAACTTTATGACAGCAACCGAAGCGAAATGCTTGAACATCCTTTAACATCAAGACACAAGACGGATAAAGCCATCAATTCGGCAGCCTTGCTTGTCTCAAGAGTTGCCAAGAGGACTCCGATCAAGCTTGGGACTTGGACTAGAAAAACTAATTATATAATAATGAAGATGGACGACTACAACAACATGTTGAGGATGGATTTCCTTCTCAAACACAAAGTCATTCCTATGCCACTAGCAAGATGTTTAGTAGTAACGAGGTCCAACCACACCATTATTGAGACTAACACCCATCAACCAAAAGGGGTGAAAATGATGTCTACACTACAGTTGAGAAGGATCCTACCAATGGTGAACATACATTCGCTGCCATTGTCATGGTTGAGGAGGGTAGCTCGAGTGAGCTAACTCCAACGGAAACCTCGTGGTCGTTATATGAACACTGCGACGCAAGGCCAGAAGGTTAGATAAAGGATTTATCTCCACCTAGGTAGATAGACCATGAGTTTTATTCTATGCCGGGGACGAGATCGTTTCCTATCGATGTGTCTGATACGTCTTAACCTAAGCTAGTTGAGTTACACAAACAACTAAATGACTTGTTGAAATTTAGATTCATGAGTCCTACTACTCTTGTCATTGATCACCCAAATGCTAGGGAGAGACCCTGAGCCAACACCTACACTAAATGGGGAATACAAACCTTCGAAAGAACTTGTGTTTGCTCAAGAATCCAAACTGATGAAGAGAAGGGCTAGTCAGAAGCGTTAGCAACGACAATTCCAAAATGGAGAAAGAGTTTTGACAAAGCTGAGGTAAGATCAACTTCGATTTCAAAGCAACAAGAATCAATAACTAGTGTGAAAATACTATAAACTAGTCGAAGTCATTCAAAAGGTAGGGAAGACATCATACAAGATCCAATTGCTCCCATGGATTCAGACTAACCCTGATTTCCACGTCAATAACTTGAAATGTTACTATCATGACCAGAAAAACACCAAACACAAGGAGGTGGTACGACCTCATGCCACACAGAAAAATACAATTGTGAAGAAAGTAGAAGATTCTAATAGAGAAGATGCAAAAAGTTGACAAATCGAGAAGTAATTTTAACAGTTCTTAGTAGATTAAAGAGACTCCTCAATGCTGAGATCAATATGGGGGTATATGACTGTTCACCAAAATCATGTCTACATTTGGTGCGTAAAATGTCCCAAAATATACTATAAGGGGATATGCTAGTTGTCAATTATTCTATCTAGGTTATACACTACCAAAGTTGTGGTTGTGGCTTATTTGCTTTTAGTTTATAACATTGCATTTTTTAAAACTATTTCAAACATATTTTCTCGCTCACATTTTATAAAACATCTTCTATTAAATGCGACTCAATGCTCAATCATACGTAAAGATTGTTCACAAAATTCATCTTTCACACGGCTGGTTTGTTTGCCAAGTTAGAACAAATGTCGCACAATTGCTATTATACAACTTGGAAATCACCACAAGATAATCTCACTGGTTGGAAAAAATCCCTTCCATATAAGTCGATTGATCGCTCGCTCCCTAAACAAGTTTGTGAATTTCTAATGCTTTCTAATATTATGTTATGCTTTGTTAGTACTTCTGCCAAAACACTTCCATGTTTCAACACCATATGTGCAATGACCTGCTTTTCGAGGACGAGCCACAAATCTTTATATACTAACGTGAAACATTTTAAAATAAAAAATAATTTAAAACTTTTAAAGACATGTGGGCTTTAATAAATATTAAGCTCAAGAGTGCATTTAATTTAAAATGATAAAGTACAACCATACGACAAAATAGGAATCTAAACACAACTAAGTTCATAAATACATAAGTTTGAAAATACAAGACATCGATCTATCTCGATCCCTAAAAGCCTATAGCTCATGCACGCCATTGCCTCAATCGCTCCATCTAAGCCTTCGACTAAAAAAGATTAAAATAGCATGAATGAGTATAAAAATGCTCGGTAAGTAACTTGCTTGTAGCTTTCTTAGTTCGTTCTCAAGTTTTATTCTCATGAGTTCGTGTTTTTTTCATACGTTATCCCCTAGGTTTACTTATTCACATAAGCTCAATTAAGGGTAAAAGGCAAAAGTTATCGAGTTCTCTTTTTTTGGCCATACATGGGTCACCCATTCTTAAGGTTCAACTCTTTTGAGCTCATCTTCCTCATACGGTTTGTTCTTGGTTAAATTGTTATAGTAGCCCTATTCGTCATTGTCATCATCATAATAATCTATACCTAGTAGATTGTCGAAGACTCTAATGTCAGTCTCCAACCCATTGTTCTTATCATAGCGTTATGAACAACGTTCTCGTATTCTTTAGTAGGGTTTAGGTGGTATCTTCCTAGTAGGCCCCATAGCGTACACATCATAAAGGAAGTTGTGACCCTCAATCCAGCCAACATTCATCAATCTATGTGGTCCCTTACTCTCGTCCAAACAAGATCACAATAAGGCATCCACAAGGCGTTCACAAAATTCTCGTAGGATTCATGCACTTTTAGGGCTAAACCCTAATTCTACAAATTCATAAAGTTACTACTAAAGACCCTACCGACTGGGTAGGTTCACTAAAAGAAAATTAATTAAAAATCTCTAATTGTCTCCGTCCTTCGATAACTGACCTAATAACTATTATAGACCCCTACCAATTGGGTAGGTTCGCTAAAATAAAATTAACTGAAAAGTCCCTAATTGTCTCCCTAGAGCATGAATAAATTATAACAAATTCTAAATTGTTATTGGGACCTTCGATAATTGACATGGGTTCACGAATAGGGGTTAGTCGGCAAAATCTAATCGTCCTCGTATAACAACATAAATATCTCATACATGAACATGACATAAAAAGGAACATATTATAGTAATCTAGATATGGATACCTAGTCATGTTTTTAGTTTAGTTCAATTATGAGTTCATTTCGTCATTTGTGTAAAATCAATCGAACTTAATAATAGCTCCACATACTTTCATCGTTCAGTTCTAAACTTTAATAACATATTTGAATAATACATGATTCCATACATACTACAAGATTATCTTAATTTGAAGTCTCAAAGTGCTACTTACGTAGTTTGGGCGATACTTTGATGGTCGATTCGAGCCTTTAAAACGTTCCATATTTTTTCAAACTTCTCAAATAGGTCA